CAAAAACATTACTTAATAAAGTAATAAACTTATAGAACGCTATGTAAAGCATGACCATTTATATATAGTTTTAACATATCTATATCTGATTTTTATGGATGTATAAATATCTAATAAAAGTATTTTTAAAAAGTAAAAAATCATGAATACCAAACAAATGTTAGTGGCTACCCTTTGGGAGAAGGAAAAGGTGATTAGATGAAGAAGAGGAACACAGGAGACTACAGTTTTATCTACAATGTTTTATTCATTTTTAAAAAAAGATCCAGGCTGGGCACAGTGGCTCACACTTGTAATTCTAGGAAGCTGAGGCAGGTGGATCACCTGAAGTTGGGAGTTCAAGACCAGCCTGACCAACATGGTGAAACCCCATCTCTACTAAAAATACAAAATTAGCCAAGCGTGGTGGCACATGTCTGTAATCCCAGCTACTTGGGAGGCTGAGGCAGGAGAATCACTTGAACCTGGGAAGTGAAGATTGCAGTGAGCCGAAATCACACCATTGCACTCCAGCCTAGGCAACAAGAGCGAAATTCCGTCTCAAAAAAAAAAAAAAAAAAAAAAAAAATCCAAGGTAAACATTGACCAAACTTGCCATTTAAAAGACTATCAGGTTATCAGGTTAGATTTTTAAAATCCAGCTTATAATTTACAAGAAACATAGTCAAAACCTAAACACACAGGAAAGTTGAAGGTAAAAGTTTAGAAAAAGTTATGCCAAGCACAAACCTAGCAAAATATATTGAAAGACGTTACTGGTAGATCAAATAGACTTGAAAACAAATAAAATATTAAGGACAAATAGAGTCACTATACAAGAATAAATTTTCACTGTCCTAGTGAAGTATGTATAATTTTGAGTAAGTAAGGCTATATATGATTTGAGCAACATAATTAACAAACTTGACCTAATGGACATATATTCATCCACTACATAACTCTGCATCCAACAAGCATAGAATAAACCTTGTTTTCAAGCTTACATGGAACATAATATAAACCTGATCATATACTAGACAATAAATATCTTAACCAATTTTTAAAAATTGAAAAATACAGACCATTTTCCAGACTAAAAGTAAGTTATAAATTAATAACGAAAAGGCAACTAGAAAACCTCTGTATGTCTGGAAATTAAGAAAGTATATACTTCTCAAAGAAGAATCCTAAAATAACTTAGGAAATATTTAGAAGTAAACAACAAAAAATATTATATGGTAAAACCTGGGTAATACCCAGATAAGGTTCAGATAAATTTATAGCCTTAAATGTTTCTACTAGGGGAAAAAAACCACAAAAATAAAAAAAAACTGAAATCTTCAGGCTTAGATGGCTCCATTAGTGAGTTTCATCAAAAATTTACAAAAAAAATAACTCCAATCTTGAACAAGCTCTTCCAAAAATATAAAAAGAGAGAATGCTCCTCCATTTTGTAAGAATCGCACACTGGGTGATAAAAACAACAAAACAAAAATAACCCCAAATCAAGGGAAGTTATAGGACAGTTTCACTCAAAAACATAGCCAAAATCTAAACGAAATACTAGCAAACAAAATCCAGCAGTATATTCAAACAATGGCCAACTCAGATTTATTCTGGGAAGGTAAAGATGATGTTAAAAAACACTTAATGTAATTCACTACGATAATAGAATAAAGAAAAAGTCTTTGATCATCAATAGAGAAAATCATATAATCATCTCAATACAGAAAAAGTCTTTGATAAAAGTCAGTATCCATTCATGACAAAAAGAAAGCATTTTTTATTTCTAGCAAACTAGAAATAAAAGGGAACCTCTTAAACCTGATAAATAGTTTATACAAAACCTACATCAAATAACATACTAAATGAATGCCGAAAGCATTCTCTGTGGGATTAGTAATAACACAAAAATGCCTTTAAACCACTTCTATTGAGCATTGCACCGGAGGGGCTAGCCAGCATAGTAAGACACCCGCCCACCCTGCAAAAAGTATGATTAATTTTCAAAAGTATAAGGTACGGAAGGGAAGACACAAAGCAGTCATTATTTGCCGATTATATAATTATTTATAGAAAATTCAAAAGAATCTGAGTATAAAGTACCAGAATTAACAAACAATTTAAGCAAGACGACTGCCTAGATAGTGGACTAAAATACAAAAACTATTTGCATTTCCATACACTAGTAACAAACTGTTAAGAAATATAATTCAGAAAATATTCCATTTGCATTACAGCATATGCTTACCAAAACACATCGAACTGTACACTTAAAGTAGGTGTGTTTTATTACATGTAGAGTATATCTTAAATAACTGTAGGAAAAAGGACACTACTGACACTTTTTGTAACAGCAATTACAAATGTCAAGTGACATAAGAGTTAATCTAATATATAAAGACTTTTCTGGGGAACAATGATAAAACTTTACTTAAAGCTATAAAAAGATATTTAAATAAACGCAAAGACACATTCGTGGAATGAAAGCTTTAAAACCAGAAGGATGTCAGTTCTCCCCAATTTGATCTTTAGATTCAGTGAATCTCTGATCAAAAATCTCAACAAAATTTTATGAGGAACTCAGTAAGATGAGTCTAAACTTTATATGAAAGAGCAAAGAGCTAGTAACAGACAAGACACTCAGAAAAAGTAGATTACTTAGTCCCTTATGGTAATTGACACAGTGAGATATTGGCATAGGGATAGGCAATTCGACCAAAGGAGCAGAATAAAGAACTCAGAAGCCAGCCTGTGCATATTTGGAAACTTCATTTTTTACAATGGTGGCATTGTAGTCAGTGGGGAAATGATGGATTATCTATTGAATGACCCTGAGACAAGTTATTATTCAAATGCACAAAGCGAGGGGCTGGGGAAGAGAACTGGATATTCTACATCACATCACACACAAAAATCCATTCCAAATGAATTAAAGACATATGTGAAAAGGCCATCTTTAAAACCTAAAGAAAAAAGTAAGGAGAAAACCACTATAATGTTGAGACAGGCAAGGAAAAACACGAATCAAAAAGGAAAAAGGTTAACAGATTTAACAAAAAAATTGGATTATAGGCAACAGATAAACTGTGCTATGGAACACTATGTAGGGGTGGAGGACATCCTTTTTCCCAACAAGAAGAAAGCAATGAGAAACTACAGGAAAAACAACAACAACTGTACAAGAAAATCAATCCAGTTAAAAATTTAATAGGAATGATTTTCAGCAATCGATGGTAAGTAAGAAAGAAAAGCCCAGTGAACTCCAAAGACAGAGTAACTGCACAAAAGGATCCACAGAATCACAGCATACTATGTGACTGTGTAACGAAGGATACTACCTGTAAATGTCATTATTTGGTTTTATTAGATTTAACCCTTGATCAACCTCAGAAGACTTAGTTATGGTTATCGAAGAGAACAGAAATATTATCAGCTTTGACAACATAACAATAAGGACACAGATGGCAGATGTTAGGAGGCAAAGGAAAAGTAGACAGAAGATGCTAATTTTCTCAGTTTACAAAGTGGAAGTCAAAAAGAAGTTATAAGAAACAGTGTTTTTAAAATACTATTTAAAATTAAAAAGGTAACCAACTTAAAAATGGTGATATAATTATGAAAAACAGGGATGGGTTGGTATGTAGAGTTAAAAATGAGGCTGATTCCTTATACCACAAAAGTAAGTCAATAATGTCTAAAATTGGCTGGGCTCAGTGGCTCATGCCTGTAATCCCAGCACTTTGGGAGGCTGAGGCAGGTGGATCACTTGAACCCAGAGTTCAAGACCACCCTAGGCAACATGGCGAAACACCATCTCTACCAAAAATTTAAAAACAATTAGCTGAGCATGGTGGCCTGCACCTATAGTCTCGGCTACTTGTGAGGCTGAAGTGGGAGGATTGCTTGAACCTGGGAGGCGGAGGCTGCAGTGAGCTGAGATCACACCACTGCACTCCAGACTGGGTGACAAAGCGAGACCCTGTCTCAAAAAATAATAATGATAACAATGTCTAAAACTGATAAGTCAAGAAATAGTGCTCCAAACATATTATTTAGAAATATAGAGATAACTATTAGTAGATTTAAAACCCAAAGGACAGTGAAGTGTGGGAGGGTATGTTGCATTCATTATAAGCTCTTGTGTGACTGAATTTTTAATTCACATGCATGGGTTATTTTAATAAATATAAACAGATTTCCAAATAATTGAAAGAAAAAAGGAAAAAGATCAAGATTCTCTAGAGTTCATTTAGTCAAACACCTTCCATCAGGGAGGCGAAAGAAAATGAATGCCCACTCCAACAGAAAAACTTCTAAACATCTGATAAAGATTCGTGATCCAAAACCCTACCAAATTTATTCATCAGGGAAGCATATTATCATCATTTAATTCAGAGTGAAGAAAGTAGTTTACAGGCTGAATCTTACCTTTCACTGTTTCTCTTCCTCCCTACTTTCCTTTCTCTATTTCTCAACTTTATTGTTCTCCTCTAGCTTTGCTTTACTTAGCATGAATATTCAAACTAAATACATACAAATAAATACATACAAAATACCAGTTTTATTTGTAGAATATAGTCTTATGTTTCCTAATTTTCTCTCAATACAAAAAGAGCAAATTAAGTTGATTTTCATTTCCATCTTGTCTACATTAACTTAAAAGTCTCTACAGGCATTACTGCTGTAGAGAAAAAGATCTCTACCACCGATTTAAGGAATGAACCCAAAACCACAAAAGGCAACCCACCTAAAACCAGAACGATAATTACTCTTCAATGGGCTCATGTTTCTGGAGGCTGCCATATTACTCAGGCTTCAGGAATCAGGAGCTAGGTTTCCACATGGACACTTAAGGTGATTTACAGAGAAGAAAGCTTGACGTCTAAGTTCCCCCAAAAGAAAGTAAAAACCCGAAAAGTTCAATGTTCATGTTAAGTGATGTCTGGTTTTGATCCACAGGAATTTCACAAGGCCCCCATTTCAGTGTGATCCACAGGCACTTCCAGGGGTATACTTACACTATATGTGCAAGGTCAAGTGGTTTCTCTGGTTGCTCAGGAAAAACAGGATGCGGGGGTTCTCTGGTGGGTACACACCCCAAAGATTTACTAATTGCATGGCTCAGCTTCTTTGCAGGAGATTTCTGTGTCAAAGTAGAAAACAGTAAGGAATTAACTCTTCAAAAGAATGAAAGGAACTTCAAAAAAAAAAAAATTTTGTGACAAGAGTGTAAAAACATCTTTTCAAATGCAAATCAAGTTTCATTATTGTCAACATCATTGGGCCTTGCAGAAAGGAACCTCCAGTTGTCCCAAGGTCATCTGTGGTCCTTCATTTCTGCAGTTCCTCCTTCATGTTTACTATAAAGTCACACTATCAAGTAATGTCAACTTTCCTTCTGGACATCTCTGTGTACTCTTGGCAAGAACTCCCTCCTTTGATGCTTCTAGATCATTTTTGCTAAGATGTTAAAGTTAATTCCCTGACCAGAGTCAGAACTTTTTGATGGAGGCCAGGTGCGGTGGCTCATACCTGTAATCCCAACACTTTGGAAGGCTGAGGCGGGTGGATCACCTGAGGTCGGGAGTTTGAGACTAGCCAGACCAACATGTTGAAACCACGTCTCTACTAAAAATACTAAATTAACCAGGCATGGTGGTGCGAGCCTGTAATCCCAGCTACATGGGAGGCTGAGGCAGGAAAATTGCTTGAACCTGGGAGGCGGAGGTTGCAGTGAGCCAAGATCACGCCATTGTACTTCAGCCTGGGCAACAAGAGCAAAACTCTGTCTCAAAAAAAAAAAACAGAACTTTTTGATGGGCTACAATACTAAAAGGCTAAGAGCACACAGCTTATGGATGTTAGCAAATTAGCTAAGTTACAACCCCAAGATGTTAGGATATTCCCAAATAAACATGAGGCAGAACATTTGATATTAAGGGTCTGGTTATGTAGCTGGATACAGAGTGCATTCACAATATGCAGACCCAGGACTCTACATTACAATATATAAAGCTACAAAAATAAGTTGGCATACCAATACATTCTTCTGGAAGGTAGAATAATACCCACCAAAGACTACCAAGTCTAAGAGTCAATCATAAATATGCACAAAAGTAAACAACATGCCACAATCAGGTTAAATAGAACATTCACTTCTTTTTTCTTTTCTTTTTTTTTGAGATGGAGTCTTGTTCTGTTGCCCAGGCTGGAAAGCAATGGTGTGATCTCGGCTCACTGCAACTCCGCCTCCCGGGTTCAAGCAATTCTCCTGTCTCAGCCTCCCGAGTAGTTGGGATTACAGGCGCCCACCACCACGCCTGGCTAATTTTTGTATTTTTAGAAGAGACAGGGTTTCACCATGTTGGTCAGGCTGGTCTCAAACTCCAGACCTCAGGTGATCCACCTGCCTCAGCCTCCCAAAGTGCTGGGATTACAGGTGTGAGCCACCACACCCAGCCTAGAACCTTCACTTCTAAAACTCATATTTAAAGGAGGCTCCTTTTATACAGATTATACTGTCCACCCAATTCCCCTAAAATAACACTGTTATCTGAGATTTTCTTGGCAGGATATTAACTGTAAAAAAGTTTAACTATTTCATTCTGCTGCCTCTGCAGTTTATTATCATATGTGCCACTTAAATTGGAAAATAAAACATGGTTGCAGTTGTCTGCCTCATCAATGCCACGTCCCCACTAGACTTCTATATGCTGCTTGCTGTAGTATTTTAACACAAAATAAACAAAAATCTGTTTGCCTGTAAGACCATACAGGCACAGTTAATGAATACTTATTTATAATAAAGACTCAATAATACAATTTTTTCAGAAACTTTGTATATTGGCTCCAAATCACCTACTACTATTCCCTTCAACACATTAAATTCTGGGAAAACTTGGTCAGGCACAGTGGCTCACTCCTATAATCCCAGCACTTTGGGAGGCAGAGGCAGGTGCATCACTTGAGCCCAGGAGTTTGAGATCAGCCTAAGCAACATGGCGAAACCCTGTCTCTACAAAAAGTATCAAAAAAATTAGTTGGTGCGGTGGCATGTACCTGTAATCCCAGTTACTCGGGAAGCTGAGGTGGGAGGATCACTTCAGCCTGGGTCGTCGAGGCTGCAGTGAGCTGAGATTGTGCCAACTGCACCCCACCCTGGGCGACAGAGTAAGACCCTGTTCCCCCTCCCCCGAAAAAAAAAAATTCTGGGAAAAGTCTAGATGTAACCTAATTTCCTGAAAGTATATAAAGCGAAACATAGCAGAAATTCTCAACTTCTCCCCTAACTTCTTTCCATTTTCCTTTTGCCCATCAAGAAGTCATGACGTGACGCTGAATTTTCCCGCACTACAACAGTTTCTGCACTGCCCCCAGAGATCATGTCACCCTTCTGCTTAACACCCTTCAAAGGCTGATAGTCACTTACAGAATGAGATCTAAATAAATGCCTTCATTTTCCATACAAAAGCTTTCACACCTGACTCCTGCCTCTCTCTCTTTCCACTTCCCACTCACGTAAATGATGAGCTGCTCACAGTTAACTCAATATACACTGTGCTCTTTTAGGTCTCTGTATCTTGGCACATGCCTTTTCCAGGTCTCCCTTTCCCAATCTACCTTTCTGTACATTTTTTGCTCATCTCTCAAGCCTGCTGGTCAGCATCCCTTCCTCTGTGAAAACTTTCCTCACTGCTCCATACGACAGCAAGTGCCTTTCCAGGCTACCCATTTACCTGTACCTATTTCCACTGTTTCACTTACCATGCTATACTGCAATTTTTATTTTTATTTATTTATGTATTTATTTGAGACAGAGTCTCGATCTGTCACCAGGCTAGAGTGCAGTGGCGCGATCTCGGCTCACCGCAACCACTGCCTCCCAGGTTCAAGCGATTCTTCTGCCTCAGCCTCCCGATTCGCTGGGACTACAGGTGCACGCCACCACGCCTGGCTAATTTTTGTATTTTTAGTAGATATGGGGTTTCACCATGTTGGCCAGGATGGTCTTGATCTCCTGACTTCACGAACCGCCCGCCTCAGTCTCCCAAAGTGCTGGGATTACAGGCGTGAGCCACCACGCCCAGCCCCATACTGCAGTTTTTAATTTGTTTGTCCATCTCTGTTATACTGCTGCTTCTGAGGGTACGATTTACATCTTATTCATCTTTGCATTTGAACAAATTATTTACCTAGATGAATTTTCCAGATTGCTTTTACCTACCTAGTAAAACCATATAAATCTTTTTTTATTTTTTGAGAATTACAAGTAGAGGCAATCAGAGGATATCAAAGAGAACACCTTACTTTCACCTTTATAAGGAAACACTACATCTGTCATCCATGTATTAACTTCATGATTTTTTGCTGTATCGGCCATTAATTCATGTAATGTATGTGAAACGTATTATCACACAGACTACTTTAGCTCCATCCTAAAAAAATAGCCATGAAATAGAAAGGTAAAATCAATACATCAAGATGAATTCCAAATAATTAAAGCACACCAAGGGAAGCTTGGTATGTATGGGAAGGAAAAAAACTGAAGTAAAGACACGTAATTGGAGTATTAACTAAGGCCTAAAAAAAGATACTACCTTAAAAATTTTAAAACTATGTATCCAATCAGGTTGTCTAAACACAAAAATAAGTGATTTCCTTAAAAGATCTCAGATGATGACTTGGACCTGAAGTGAAGTTTGATAATGAGTTAGTTTAGGAGGCTACTATAACAAAGTCTCTAAGCAAGAGTTTGAAAAATGCTGTGTCAAGACAGGGGCATTAGCTCTTCTGTCCAGTCAGCCCCTAAGATGAAGCCCCAGACTCGAGAATCGACAACTAAAAATTTAAGGAAGCAAAGAGGGCGCGAGGGCAGAAGAAGAACACGACACGTGCAGGACCTGGAGTCTCCTCCACTTCATTTAAGCTCCTATATCAGAGACACTCTTTGAGGTTTTGGTACTTTCTCCCAACTTGCACTCTAAAACTAATTTAATGGAGAGGTCTTAACATAGAAAGTTAAATCTTCTCTAAATACTCTTAGGCAATGATTTCAAATAGGATATTGTGATTTCAATACAGTAATCCACTTTACCAAATTTCAAAACATTTCCTATCCTCTGTTAAAAATACTACAGGTTATATTTTTAAAATATACCAGGCTGGGCATGGTGGCTCACGCCTATAATACCAGCACTTTGGGAGGTCAAGGTGGGAGGATTACCTGAGGCCAGGAGTTCATGATCAGCCTGGGCAACACAGTAAGACTCCATCTCAAAAAGAAAAAAAAAAAAAAATCCAAACATTAGCCAGGTGTGATGGCACGTGCTTGTAGTCCTAGCAACTCAGGAGGCCGAGGCGAGAGGATCGCTTGAGTCCAGGAGTCTGAGGCTGCAGTGAGCTATGACAGTGCTACTGTATTCCAGCCTAGGTGACAGACTGAGACCCTGTTTCTAAATATACATATCTATACACACACCAAAGAGTATAAAATGTGTACAGTGTTTTTTTTTAGACAGAGTTTCGCTCTTGTTGCCCAGTCTGAAGTGTAATGGCGTGATCTCGGCTCACTGCATCCTCTGCCTCCTGGATGCAAGCAGTTCTCCTGCCTCAGCCTCCCTAGTAGCTCAGACTACAGGCATACGCCACCACACCCAGCTAATTTTTGTATTTTTAGTAGAGATGGGGTTTCACCATGTTGGTCAGGCTGGCCTCAAACTCCTGACCTCAGGTGATCCACCCACCTCAGCCTCCCAAAGTGCTGGGATTACAGGCATGAGCCACCACACCCGGCTGTACAGTTTTAAAAGTTATAAAACAAATACCTACCTACCCACTATTCTGCCTGTGAAACAGAACATTTGTCACTCTGAAGACTCCTTATGGGCCCTCATCCTAATACTATATCCCACTCACACTCTACCCCCTCTTCTCCTGATAATCACTATCCTGGATTTTGTATTAATCATTTCTTTGACTTTATTATCTTAGCAATTACGTATAATACATTGTTTAGATACGTATAAAACCTGTATAGCTCTCTATATATTCTTCTGCAACTTGCTTCTTTCACTCAGTTATGTTACAACTTATCCATTTTGATGGATATAATTGCAATTCATTTTTTTCACTGCTTGATGTTAT